AGTTTCCTTTAAAGACTTTTGGAAACAACCTTCCTTTAAAGACTTTTGGAAACAACCTTCTTGTTGTTGTTGGCACACCTGATAATAAAGGTAGCAGAACAAGCCCTAAAAAATTGTCTTTTGAAGCTATAATGGAAATCTCAAATACTCTGAACCTAAGTAAAAGAAAAACAAAACTACTTTGCAAAAATATGCGACAAAACTTAGGGAAGATGATGTTAGAACCTCATATCAACTCAGATTGAAGAGCTGCATAACACTTTGTCAGATTTTTATGATGTAAAAACTGAATCATTCATTTCAGGGAATGACAAGATAAGTCGCAGTTTGATATTTGTAAAAGATACTTCTGATTTAATTCTTCACATGATTAAAGAAAGAGGTTTGAATCCTTATTGCACTGTTGTTAGAATTTCAATTGATGCTGGACAGGGTTTTCTTAAATGTATTGTAAATGTTTTTGATCCATGATGCTAAAATACAACTTCAGAAAGTCTAGATGATTCTGGTGTAAAAAGATCATTGGTTTTAGCTTTAGTTGAAGATGTTTCAGAACATAATGGAAATCTTAGCAAACTATTGAAACCACTGGAGCTGAATGATGTAAAATATTCAGTAGCATTTGATCTAAAATGTGGTAACTCTTTATTTGGTTTAAGCAGCCACAGTGGTAAATATGCTTGTCTCTGGTGTGAAGGAGAAAGTACTCTTGAGAGTGGAGAAAAAAGAACTTTAGGTTCAACTGATGTTAATTACAATAAGTTTGTTGCAGATGGATGCAAAAATAATCACATAAAGGAATTTAAAAACTGTATTTCTCCTCGAATTGTATATCTCAATGAACCTTTAGAAACTTTATTGGAACATCTTATCCCTCCTCCAGAGTTACACATTTTCATTGGTATTACTTCTATGTTTGTAAAAGTATTATTTACAATGTGGCCTGAATTTGAAACATGGCTTAAATCAAACTATATTATGTTTAGAGGTTACCGTGGAATAGGTTTGGACGGTAACAATTCACAGAGACTTTTAGGAATATTAGATGATCTAGAAGTTAATCTTCTAAGTGCAGCCTCTATGCAGCCAAATATAATATTTCTACAACCTGTAGTTAATTGTTTTAGAAAGTTTTCAATTATTAAAAAAAAAGTTTCAGCTCAGCAATTGGAGAATCTATTGCTGAATCAGTTCTAGATTTTAAAAACGTTTTTGAAGAAATTTTCTGGAAAAGTTTAACTATGAGTTAAATATTAGCTGGAAAGTTCACATTTTAGTGTGTCATCTTGTTCCTTTTCTTCATTATAGTCAGTTTGGGCTTGGTGTATATGCTGAGCAGGCTGGAGAAAGTGCTCATCACTACCACTATCAAGTATGGAAGCAATACAAGCGTCGTTTGGAACTCAAGAAAAGTGTAATTGAGTTTTGTATAAACAATTTAAAGTATCCATTTTCTCATTTAAAATTTTTTTTTAAGTAGGTGTTGCTATTATTGTTAAATTTTCAATAATAATCAAATAATTGCTATTGTTTAAAAAGTATTATTATTAGGAATTTGCATTCCAGTTGTTAATCTTTTTGTTACATTTATTGCATTAAACTTTGTTAATGATAATTTATGTGTCCATAGCTTGATTAAAAAAAAATTGTTTTAAAATTGTAATACCCTATCCATTTTTTTTAAATGTCTTTTTTATAAAATAAATTTTTAAATTTTGGAAAATTTAAAAAAAAAAAGATGTTTTAACAGAGGAACTTTGGTCTGGAGGAAATATACTAATATCTATTACCTACCACCCCCTCCCCAATTGTTAAAGTATAAGTTATAACTGTTTTTTTAAAAAAAAGTATGTATAAAAGTTAGTTTAGATTTTTAAAATTATTTTAAAACAATTTACCAACCCCAATAATAATAATTAAACAAAAAAAACTAGAGTAAACCAAAATTTACCCTAGCGGTCTAAGAAGAGCACATTAACAAATTTAACCTAATGATTTTGTTATATCACATGAAAATGTTTGAAAATGATGATTTTTCTCGTTTGGATTGCAATCAGTCGTTTTGGTCATTCATCGCCTTATTTTGCTGTAAAAAATGTGCACTGGATGCAAAAACTTATTCTAAAGATTGTATTACAAAAAAACTTCATTCATTTATAAATTCCAAGCATCAAAACATGAAAATTTTATTTTGGCCTGACGGAGCGAGATGTCATTATGCAAAACACACATTAGAAACTTACAACACTTTAGGTATTAACTTTGTCGACGCTAAAGATAACCCCCCAAATGTACCGCAGTTAAGGCCAATTGAAAATTTTTGGGCACATTTAAAAGCAAAAGTTTATGGAAATGGATTTACTACGAAAAATCTTGACCACCTTAAGAATAGAATTCGATTAAAGTTTAAAGAGTTCGATCCAGACTACTTTTTCAACCTAATGGATTTAGTCAAAACTAAAGTTCGAAAAGCCGCTGATTTAGGACCACTTTCGGTTATAAAATAGTTAACGATATCCAGTCTCTCATTTTAGTTAAAATTTTTGTCAAAAATCGATTAATTTTGTATTCAATTAAGAACAATTTTTCATTCCGGATTTTTTGTGAACAGATGTTAGTAAACACACTTTTTTTTTCTTTGACAACTTGTTTCAACATCAGTATTGAAACAAGTTGTCAAAGAAAAAATTAAATAAGTGTTTTTACTATTTTATATATATATATATATATATATATATATATATATATATATATATATATATATATATATATATATATATATATATATATATATATATATATATATATATATATATATATATATATATAAACAATTTAAAATGTATTCTACAAAAAGAGTGCTCAATGTTAAAAGAACAGAGCAATTACAAATTAGTAGAAAATCACTGAGCAAAATGAGAAAAAATTTTGCTAAGTGATTTTCTACTAATTTATATATATATATATATATATATATATATATATATATATATATATATATATATATATATATATATATATATATATATATATATATATATATATATATATATATATGTATATATATATATATATATATATATATATATATATATATATATATATATATATATATATATATATATATATATATATATATGTATATGTAGTTAAACATATAAACACTGCACATGAAATATTTATTTCTTTTATTGTTACTATTAAGTAATTTTAATAAAGATACACTAAATTTCAGTTCAATATTTTTTAGCACTAGAATCCTTTCAAAAAATCACCACTGATGATTTTTTGAAAGGCTTCTAGTGCTAAAAAATATTGAACTGAAATTTAGTATTAAATAAATAAGTTATAATTTGTATAAATAAATAAATATATATAAGTAATATATTTAGTATTAAATAAATAAATAAAGTATTAAACATATTAAACTTAAATTTAGTTTTTAGCACTAGAGGCCATTCAAAAAATCACTACTGAGGATTTTGAAAGGGCTCATGAGCTAAAAAATATTAAACTTAAATTTAGTTTGAGTTTATCATCTTCAATAATTCGAACATTTGCTTCAAGGCACTTATTCATTTGCACGGCAGCTACTCAAAACAAGTTGAATAATATGTTCATTAATATACATTTTCTTAAAGAATATATGAGTTATGGTCTATATACTATTTTTAATTTAATTATAAAATCAAAAACAACAAAATTCTCTAATAAAAAAATTGCGCTAAAATAAAATAATAGATTCGAAAATGGCCGAAAAGTATTTCAACATTAAAACCTGTAACGCACTATACGTATTCTAAAATCAGTTGTATTACGACGTTGGCCAGACGATTGTTCGACGTTAGCGCGTAGTTAAAAAAATTTCCCAACGCTTCCGACGTTGTTCCGACGTTGGTAATGTTTAGCCAACATATGCGTGTTATATATATATATATATATATATATATATATATATATATATATATATATATATATATATATATATATATATATATATATATATATATATATATATAATTGAATTACAAATAGAATTGTTTACTTATTTTAAAATTATTTAATTATTTAATTTGAAAATGTAAAAAACACTGTTAATTAATGGGACATGCTTTTCCAATTTTTTGAAATACCTTTTTGTGATCGCCATGATCATACCTTGTTAGAAAAACTTAATTAGGGCGTGTGCACTTTTTTAAAACATAAACACTGTAGTGGGGAGGTGTGTGTGTATTATTATGTATTATATTTATTTATTGTTATGTATTAAAGTTATGTATTATTTTGTATTATAGTTATGTGTTATCATGTATTATAGTTATGTATTAATATGTATTATTATGTATTACAGTTATAAAATTATATATTACTATATACAGTTAGTAATGCATTGATATATTCATAGTGTATGGTGGTAAACAATATCTTTTGGAGGATATTAAATGTGACACTGTAATGTGACGATTGGAACCTGAAAACTAAAAAACATTTTGAACTCTTGTTCTCTCCCATTTTCTATACAGATTTCAAATTTTATCTGATAATAGCGATTGAAACTTTTTTTAATATACAAATTTAGATCATGATCAAGTTTTTTTTCATGATGAAAGTTTTTTTACATGATGAAAGTTTTTTTACATCATCATAGTGATGGTTTTAGTATCTATTAGACTCAAAAATCAATTTTTGTTGAATGTTCGCCCATAAAAATGTTATCACATAAAAAAATATGAAATCCAACAATTTTTGTTGAATGTTTTCCGATAAAAATGTGAAATCAAACAGTTTGCGTTGAATGTTTTCCCATAAAAATAAGTCATAATATATAGTTTAAAATTTTAATAAGAAACATACAAACTGTCCTTAAAAAATAAAAATTATAAATTTTTATATTTGCAACCCTTTTTATTTAATCAGCCACTGATATATAACTTATTAACTTCATAAATAATTTTGATTTTGTTTGCATAAACTTGTTATGAATATGATTTATTTTTTAGATGGTTAGATTGTTTAAAAAAAGCAACCGAGCTAGCTCAATTGTAACAGGTTATAAAATAATGACCTGTGATTAAATTATACCAATATTTCAACATACATTGCACAAACAAAAACAAACCAATAATTTATAACATAAAAAAATTTTTTATCAGCTTCCACCCTAGAGCCCCAATATCTTAAACTTACATCTATAAATAACTCTAACAGCTTTCTTTTCATATTTTATAAAATGGCGACTTATTAAGCTTAACATTTTAAATTTCTTTTTATGTTTGATTGTTATCGTAAACACATAATATGTATTTAACAGTTTAGATCTATCTTTGGATATAAATTTTTTTGGGAAGCGAATTTATATTTTACGCTTTGAATCAAACTTTCCATACTTTTATTAATGTTGCAAGTTTGGTTAAATAAATTTTTTTTCCTTTAAATATTTATGGTGTATGAAATTTTGTATTATTTTTTTCTTCTAAATATTACTAATGAGTTTTTTTTCGATATATTTATATTGTAGAAAATTTTGCAGTGTTTTTTTAGCGAATTACGCTAAATTAAAAAATCCATTTTAGTAATTTTTTTTTCTTTCTTGATCTTAATGTTTGTTACAACGCCAATATATTTTATTTACGTCTTTGTCGTCAACTCTTAGTGTTAACAAATTATTTTTATGTTCATAGAACAAATTTGAATACAATGAATAAAGTTCAACACAATGAATAAAGTTCAATTGTTAAATGTTTATATTTTAGCTAAAATTATTTATCCAATGAATTCAACGTTAGATTTAATTTTTCTGTGTTTACAATTTCTTATTACGTAACAATTGTGACATGTAAACAATTTAACGATATGTAAAATGATTACCAAATTGCTAACTAAACTAAACTAATCATGAATACCAAGTATGTAACAATTTGTTTCATTTTAATATAGATAAATAAATGTAAAATATATCAAGCTTTAGAATTTCATACTAATATTTAGTATTTTGAATGTCGCCCTACTATAACGTGACAACAAACTACTGAACTGACCACTTTTTTTATATTTTTGGATTAGAAATCGTATTTTAAGCAATTTGTTTTAAAAATTCTGTAAAAATAGTTTTTATAATTTTTTAAAAAATTTTATATACGTTTTTTTCTTTTAATAGTGTATTTAGTTTTGAACATTATCAATGCAGTATTTTTTGTATAGTTTTAGTACGAAATGTCAATGTTGTTTAATTTATTTGTGTTTTTTTTATTATCCCCATTGATTATCTTTTTCCGGATATTTCCGGAATTCCGGATTTTTTTCTTAGCTTGTGGTTTTTCCGGATATCCAAAACGTTTTCCATACATACATACATACATAAAGTTTAGGTGTATATTTTTGTAATATATTTATTTTTTAAGCTATTTCACTTATCACTCATGCAAAAATTAAGAACATTTTGGAAAAAATATTGGAAATAACTCAGCTAAAAGCAAATATTGGAAATTACTCAATATTGGAAATATTGGAAATAACTCAGCTAAAAGCAAAATTAAGAATAAAATAAGGGAAATTAAATTCCAGATTTTTTCCGGATATTACACCCAAACAATTTTCCGGATTTTAAAAATATGACCTGGATGATCTATGTATCCCATACTTTTTCTGGAAATACACTAACAGTTTAAGTGTATTTATTTATAGAATTTCATCTCTACAACGCTATAAAAGTTAGTGCTGTACCCCTCTCTAAATTTCCGATACTTTTTTTTTATATTCTGTGTTCGACATTATGATATCAAATGACGTTCGACATTATGATGTCAAATGACGTTCGACATATCAAATGGTTTTAGTTTGAAACATTTATTTTTAAAAAATTTTTTAAAAGCTTATATCAATTTAATAGAAATCTATCGCTTTTTGATGTTGTTGTTGTTTTTTTTTTACATTCAGCATAAAAACTAGTATACTTTCTGAATAAATCATGCTTTTGAACTAATTTTTTTTTTTAATGAACTGAAAATTTATTTAGTTTAAATCTAGTATTAAATCTGAAATTTTAAACCTCTGCACAGTGACGGATCCAGGGGTCACAGTGGACATTGCACAAAAATCAATGTTACCAAAACAAATTTAAATTAGTTGTTATTGAAAACTAAATAAATTTTCAGTTCATTAAAAAAAAAAATTAGTTCAAAAGCATGGTTTATTCAGAAAATATACTAGTTTGAATAACCTAAATTCGTTGCAAAAGGTAGGCAATTGGTACAAATAAAACATAAAAGTCATTTTTGGTATTATATTAGAAAAAATATCACTATATAAGCAGTGCTAATGTGATAATTGTATGTAGAAAAAATCTTAGACTGCAGTATATGGAAATGTGAATGTTAACTTCATAGATTATTGCCACATTTTTTTTTTTACACGTAATACCTAATGAAACAACTAAAATTTAGCAAAATTTTAGTATTTTTTAACTAATTTTATATCAGAAAAAACAATTTATCTCAAAAAGCGATAAGTTGGCACTAGTAAACCCAAATATTTTTAAACTCTTATAACAAAAAGGAATAAGATACTTTTTGTGCCAACTTAGCACTTTTAAACAAAAAAAAAGTAAAAGAATGACCCTACCCCATTAGTTTAAAATTTTGTAAAATATATTAAAAAATATAAATGCAAAAAGTTTTGCATTATTTTGTACATATTTTTATAAGGGGAAGATGTTTTCAGTAAAAGTGTATGTCTAGAAATTTGTTTTCAGTAAAAGTGTATGTCTAAAAAAAGGAGTAAGACCATTTTTTGACCAATACCACAATTAAGATCAATTTTTGACCAATACCTCCCTCTCTCTTGCCCTTTTTTCCATTGAACTTTTTTTTTTTTTGACCAAATTAAATCTAGTTAGTACAACCATTAATAAAAAAAATATTGCAGCATTGAAGTCTGTTTTAAAATGAACAAAAAGCAAGAATTAAAATCAAAACTGAGGGCTTTTGTGGTAAACTTGTTCATATTTTGAATTATATTATTTTAAGTTTAAATCATTTTGTTGAAAAATTTATTAGATAATGAATCAACAAAAATATTTATATCTTTGGTTTAATAACAATGAAGCTCACTGAATTTTACTTATTTGAAATTTTTATTGCTGAGGAAAATAAACAACAAAAAACTATATCTGCAATTATAACAGGTTGTAAACTGATAATTGCTGAGGCACTTGGCTCCGATGAATTGTCATTTGCACAAAAAACAATAGTTTAGAATGGCCGGCAAACAACAACAACAACAAGCTATCTAATTTCCGTAAACCATTTTACAATAGTTTTGATAATAATAATAATAGTAATAATAGCAAAAGTATATAATAATAACACAAGATAAAAAAATAATTATACAAATTATAGTAATAGTAATGATAAGTATGTTAACAATAATTACAATGAAAAAATAACAATAATAACTAATATTAATATAATAATAAGTTAATGATTTATTAGGATTGTGTCACTCATACAGAAATCTGATCAAAGGAGAGACACTAAGGATCTGCATCTGAAGAAAAACAAACTTAAAAAAATGGGAAAGAAGAAAAACAAACTTAAATGCTATGCTGGTATTTGAATGCTATGCTGGTATTTGAATGCTATGCTGGTATTTGAATGCTATGCTGGCATTTGAATGCTATGCTGGCATAACATTCAAATGCCTGTTTAATATCATACAACATTTCAAAAGTTTAAATTGGTGCTCAGTAATTCTTTGAGTATTTTCCTCAAAAAAAAAATTTATTTAGATCAATATAAAAGCTATTGTACAGATTTTATTTATTCCTATTTAATGAGTTTCCACCTGTTACAAAAATAAACTTACCTGGACCGTGGATCAGTAAAGCACCATCACTTTACAAACTGATTGGTCATTCTTGGGAGCTAATTTTGAATGAGAAAAGCGGTTTGGGAAATCTTTATTTTTCAGGGTTAAAAGGTAATAACAAAATATTAAGATTGATGCATACTAGACTCTCAAGAAAAAACTCCTAAATTGTCAATTAAACAGTGTCATTAACTGAATGTGAATATCATTTGATCAAATTTTTTTTGACAAAAGATACAAGTCAAAACCATTCTGCAAATTTTGGTATAAATGAAGACATTCTGAAAAAATATTCTCATAAACAAATGTCTCTAATAACCTTTATTATAAGATGACACATTTTAAAGTGTTAATATATGAATAAGTTAAGTATTTTAGTACTTCATTTGATAATTTTAATTCTTTTTGTCATTGATGTTATTTTTTAGTTTTTCCAAAATTTACACATTAAAACTATTCTGAAAAGTCCTTAATCAACCCCATAGCACTTTCAGTTCAAAAGTTATGAACCAATGTCTGTGAAAACAGCTGTTTGACCCAATGAGGAGGTGGAGGATGTAGGGGATTATTTTATTTTTTAGGATAATAAGTTTTTTTTCAGATTTTAGGAATTTTTTTGAATAAAAAAAATAACAAGTTATGCTGGTATGAAGATTTTAATTCGAAATCTTTAAAATTGTTATTGTAAGATTCTTTTTTTTTTTAGGAAATGTGATACAAATTACAAAAATATTTTAACACCCTTCCTCCCCGCCGAAAACTCCTGGATCTGTTACTGCCTCTGCATAGTTTAACTTTTTTAAACTTTTTAATTTATTTTAACTAAGTATTTGACCTTGAAGATTTTTTTTGCATAAAAAAAAAATAACAAATTATTCTACTAAGAAGATTTTAACTTGAAATCTTTGAAATTGTAAATTAATTACGAGTTGCGGAAACCTGCAAACACGAAATTATTTAACATCGGTAAATTTAACAAAGTATTGTAAATACTAAGCCACAGTAAAATACTGAACTATATAAACCGATCAAATGTCAATTTGTTATAATCCAATGCAGCTAAAAAATTTTAGTTATAACAGTTTGCATGTGCAATTAAAAAGGCTTCCATCGGCTGATTTATTTCTTAAAATGTATGATAATATAGAGCATGATCCCAATATATATTTCTTGTTGAAGAAATATATATTGGGATCATGCTCTATTTTAGCGGAATATTTTCCATAAAATTCTCTTTTATTTTTAGAGGTGAAAGTTATTTCGAGAGGTACAAAAGTAAGTATAACTTTTAGTTTTTCCTAAAAAGCCGTTCCCTAAATAGGATGCTGTATGGATTTATATAAAGTAAGTGTATATGCCAGGAAAATGTTTTAACCAAAGAATATGATTAGAAGTAAAGTTATTAATATTTTCTCTTCTCTGCCCAAGGTTTTATATTAGCTATATGGTTTACAGAATTTGCCAAAAAAATGCCAACAAAACATGTATAGTTTACAAAATCGTAGTTCATACATTCTGAAAAGAATATCCCAATTAATAGCAGTAGTTATTTTGAAAAAATAAATGTGTTAGTTTTTAGCTAAAAAAAAAATCAAATCTTTTTCTTTTTCTCTTACTAATAGAAACAGAAAATCCAGAATTAACTTCCAAAGTAAAAGCTGCAGGGTATCCTGAAAAAGGGTATGTTTAAATATATTGATAGAATTTATTTAAGGTATACTCCTGCGCTCAAAACTATAATTATTATATTTATTTAAAATAACATCTATATTTTATGTTAGTAAAACAAAAAATCCTTTCAAAACTAATAACAAAAAAAATTAAACAGTTTGTTAGCGTATTTGTGCTGAACATAATTACGTCTCAAATTCTTTCTGAGTTGTATAGAAGAACAACAATAAATCCTTCTTGTATGCTTTTTTTTAGAATTTATATCTAAATAATACCACTATTACAGACAGTGTTATGGATTTAACATTAATCGATGTTCCACTGAGACAAAAAAAGGTGATGCTCAATTATATCCTCAGTTCAATATAAATTATATAATTTGTCATGATTTAAAGATATACGCACCAAATTTTCTAGAGTTTGCTTTTGTTGAAATCATTACGCATATGGCTGTATATATCGCATATATAAATGTATAAAGGCTGTATATCGTCATGCATTAATGAATCAAAATAAGTTCACTTCAACCTATTTAATTCCTCTTTTCGAAAAGCTGGCAAAGAACAGATATTGACCTAATGGAGGATTTCAATGCATATCTAGTGAGTTGATTGGATGATTTCAATGCATATCTAGTGAGTTATAAGAGTAAATCTAATTCTATTTATAATTACCTTCAGACTTTTATGATCCTGCCT